GCAGGAGACTGGTTGCATTTTTACCACTCTCTCATTTTTCCAACTATCCGAGTCGATGTAATAAAAGGTGTCCGAAGAAACGTGGGTGCCTTTGTTTTGCGGGCAGCAGCGGGGCTGGGCTGGCAGCCTGGGGCAGAGTGTTTGCCGCCTGCCTGGCTGAGACAGACCTGTGTCTTGCCCATTGGTGATCCGAAGAGGGTGCACGCGGGTGTACATGCACCCCCCAAGATCAGCTGTGGGCAGTCACTGCTTCCCCCCTTGCCCGCTGACACTACTGCCCTGCCCCCCCGCCACCGACACCGCTGCAGCCGCCTGAAGAAACTCCCTGCTCACCTCTGCACCCCGCTGTGGCCACCGTGTCCCCCCAACCTTGGGACGCATGCAATGTTCATGTTGTTGCCCCTTCACAACCCTGCACTGGGGCCCCAGACCTGGCAGCGTTGCCAGCTCTCATGATTTTTGGCGTTGTTCGTAAAGGCTGTGTTTCGGGAATGTGAAAAACGTAACTCTTTTATATATATCTATATCTAAATATATTTATATATCTATATTTAGATATAGATCTATATATAAAGAAAGAGCTACATTTTTTCACATGCCCAGAGAGTAGACTTTAAGAGCAACACCCAAAATCATGAGAGTTGACAACACTGTGCCTTGCATGTGAGCAGGCCTTGTTTGGAGCAAGGCCTGAAGGCACACAGCGGCCACTGTTTTCTGGACGACTGATGGTGTTTTGGCTTTTCACACCATGAAAGCCGGTCTCAAGCAACTGCTCACTAGAAGCGCCCACTTGATGGTCTACTTGCCTGCCGGACAGAGTATGCATGGACTGCTCCCAGCTGAGCTGTGCTCCCCCTGCCTGTCAGCTGGGCCCAGGTTGGCCTGGGCAGAGCAGCATTGGGTTCCCTTAGCTGGGTCCCCCATTGAGGCTGCCAGGGGGGAGCCATGCAAAAGGAGGAGGGATCAGGAGTAAAAGGGGGGGCTTTCCAGGCCTTCACCTGAGGGAATGGAAAAGGAGAACACAAGTAGACAACTTCCACTTCAGATGCAAACCCAGTGGTGGTGCAGGGCTGCAGTCACGCCCCGCTTTGATTCCTGCTCCACCCAAACCTTCAAGCCTGACAGTGGCAGCAGCATTTCTAGTCAGCAGAGAAAGTGTCAGTTGACATCATGGCCCTTAAAATCTGATTCCTTCTCACAGATGCTAAGGACCCTCTTTCCTTTTTTAATCCACTAATCAAGCCAGCTTTTCTTCTGGCATTCTGCTCTCTGTTTGCTACTCCTGGTAATATGGCTCCTATTTCACAGCCCTGGAGACTGTCTTTAACCCATTACAATGAAGTTCTGTCTGTTATTGCATCTTCAACAGAATTACATAGCCCTAGGGGCCAGCTTCTACTTTCTTTTTACCCAAAGAAAAAATATGGATTGTGTTATATGGGATGAAACACTGCACTACCTGCACCCTGCTTTTCAAAATCCTAGATCTGCCCATGTTCTGTTTTCACATATATCCAGGGTCATATCTTGACTCATCCTCATCACTTCTAAGAGACTTAAAAGCAGCCTGGAGATGAGATAAGAGGGTATTTCCTTCTCCTATTGAAAGTCCTTTCTAACGCACCATTGGTTCAATAAAAGAGATCACCCCAGGAAATCCTTGCCTTGCATCCTTTCTGGACCATCACAGCTACATCATTCTTAAGCCCCTGCTACACATCATATATATTATGTAATTAACTGGTGAATTACATAATACATTTAGACCAGACACAGGCACAAAGTAATTATTACACGATAAAAAGGACTGTCCAGCTATAAAGAGATAACCAGCTATCAAGTTAGCGCTTGAAAATATGTAACAACTCTCTAGCTGGTTACTATCCAGCTTTCCTTTGAATGCAAACTTTTCCAACTGCATTTGACCACTAGTGTAGTCATACCAATGGAAAGGGCTCTCTCTGAGACTGGGCCATGCCAGATCCAGTTTGCAATCCTTGCTGCCTATCTTACAAACCATTATTGCCCTGCAACATATTCAGATAAAAGCTGGATAGAAACCAGCTATAGAGCTCTTACATGTTTTCAAATGCTTTGTAGCTGGTTGGTTCTTTTTTAGAGCTGAGCAGTCCTTTTTACAGTGGGTGTATTACTTTGCACCTGTGGCTAGACTAAATGTACAGTATTGATTCACCAGTCAATTGCATAATATATGTAACATGTAACGGGGGCCTTTCTTAAGTTTTTGCATGTGGACCCCTCTCCCCCTGCCACCATTGAGTTAAATTCCCAACTTCTCCACAAAAAATGCTAAAAATGCAGAAGTATAATGAGGACCTATGCCTGCACGAATGCACAAGGCTGAGCACGTGTTTGGCCAGAGCCAGGAAATTTGCAACCGAGGTGAACACAGCTGAGAACAGGGAGAAAGAGAACTGTGTTGTCTCATGTTGTGACACAAGCTGTGCTGCATCCTGGGGGAGGTAAGGAAGGGACTGTAGAGTGCTAGAAAATGAGAGCTGGAAGGGACCTCTGGAGGGCATCTAGTCCATCCCCCTGCTAAAAAGCAGGACTGTCCCCAACTAGATCACCCAAGCCAAAGCTTTGTCTACCTGGGTCTTAAAAACCTCCAAGCATGGAGATTCCACAACCACATCATTTCAGTGCTTTTCAACCTACCTGGTAAGAGTTCTTCCTAATTTCCAACCTAAACTTTCCCTTGCTGCAACATGAGACCGTTGCTCCTTGTTCAGTCACCTGCGCGCAGGATACGACTAAAATCTGTATCTCTGCAGGATGCATCTGCACTCACAGGGTCCTGGAGGCAAAGCATCTGGTTTCCATCCCCAGTAGAAGAGATCTCTTTTATTATTAGACCAATTAGATATTTGCAAACAGTTTATTTTATTTACTTGCAAGCTTTTGGGCGCACACACCCTTCATCAGCAGGGATCCTGGTTTTCTTTGTTTTAAAAAAACTCCCCAAGTTTTCGTTTAAAAAAAAAAAAGTAACCCCCAATCCACATTTTTCCATGATTAAAATCAAACACCATTATATATCAAAGCTCATTTTGACACTCTTGAAGGTGGTCAGTGATGAATTAGGCTGAAGAGTTACCCAACATGGGTACTGGCTGCTAAAAATGAAGGATTTGGACCCAGAATCCCAGCCCAATTTCAGCTCCTTATTCAGGGCTATGCACTTGATACAGGATCTTATTGTATATTTTTATTAGCCGACATCTCTTGGAGATACGCTAATTCATTTTTCTGCAATTAAAGTGAAACACCATTTATTTATATTTATATATAATATAAATACACACATATATAAAATTAGTGGTGTTTCATTTTAATCATGGAATTAAAATGGGGTTTTGATTCCCCATTTGGGGAATCAAATTACCCAGACATCTCATGGGAGGATCGCTCAGCAAAAACTGAGCGGTCGCAGAGCTTCCTCTCGTGCGTGGATGACCTCTACCTGACTCAAGAAGTCTATGGGCCAACGAGAGGCAAAGCGCTGCTCGACCTGGTACTGGCTACTGGGGATGACCTAGTCGGCGACCTAGTGATCGATGGGAAGCTGGGTGACAGCGACCA